TGTCGTGACTGTGAATAATACAGTGCGACGGTATTACGGTACAAAGGGTTGGAACTTCATTACTGGAATGCTAGATGACGTTAAAGTAGCTAGATTTTGAGATTTTTTTGAAAAACAATTTTTTTATCTCACATAAAAAATATTTTTTTCAATCAAAATTATCCTATGTAACTTTCTAATATCTGCAAGAACATGTGTACAAAATTTCATGATGATCGGTTGAGTAGGTAACAAACAAACTTACTAAGGATTACTAAGGCTGATATCAAATTAATTTACCATATAAATGTTCAGACAAACTGTCATCATGACAAGAACGGAGTTTTTTCTCGGTAACATTCTATGGAAATGAGTAATTCAGTCTTGTGAAACGATGCTGATAAGAAGCTAAGACAAGTGTCTTGTGCCAAAACTTCGAGGTGTACCAAGAATAAGATATCTTTTCTTAATGAGAAATACAGTATTACTTTAAATACCTATGCCTTTTTACTGAATCTTGGCGCCTAGTTATAGTGTACCCCCCCGCGCCATTAATTTTTAGAATCGCCTCTGGTGGAAACAGAATTGAATGTAAAAATTCAACACCAAGTTAAATTATCATATTGAGATCTTTCAAAATTCCAATATTTGTACAATGGAATGATAAATTACTCTTCATTCTGAAGTAATCATTGACCACTTGAGATAATGAGTGTTATGTTCAGGGAAATTTTCCAACCGGTCGCTTTGAATACTGACTCGTATATAAGAAGCAAGTTGTTTGGTGTCTCTTACATCATATTGTTTGTGAATCGAACGCAGATTCAGCGGTCTCTGATTAACTTTCATTGGTTTACCTTGACATATTTCATTATCTTCCATCCAAGGTATTTACATGCAATAACAAAACTAGTGCTCCATAACAAGTATGATCTTTGTTTCAGATAAAAAAATGTTGAAGTTTGTATTGGCGTCTGTCATTCTGGCAGCAGTAAGCGCTCAGGTGAGTTCATTTTATTGATATTTATAATAAATTCGCTAATTTATCAATACTTCACAAAGTCCTATTTACGAAAAGTTATAATAATTGACACAGAAGAAACAAATGACAGTCGAGACTTTATCCTTGGTTAAATTTACTATTTTTAAACCCACTCATGTTGTTTCAACTCTATGTGTGGGTATAAAAAAATCGCATGTACGAGTAGATAACAATTGTTGTTCTTTTTATCTCGTAGTTTTGTGATGACTTATAATCATATCAACAAGTAATTGAATGAGTATTTTATCACAGTATATTATATATCGTACTAGATGTAATAAAAACTCTACTTTAGAGATAATTATCGCAGAGTTATTTGCAAAATTATGGAATATTCTCGGCTTGTTATTAGTTTAATTCTTGGATTTTTACTGTCAAGAAACTATCACAGATTTGCGATACAAGGAGATAATTTATTCACATAACGAATGGATTTTACAATTCTCAGTTGAATTATTTCTTTTTTATTTTCATGATAAAAGACAACTCCTAGGAGATATAACGTTATATAATAATAACACTCAATTTAGTGTTGCTAAAAACGATGATATTAATAAGAATGTTTCATTTTGTAATCATTTTCGAAAAGTTGTATGAATCGTAAACTATTGGTGTCGAAACACGATTCCTATGACAAAAAAGTGACTAGGAGAATGTAGTAAAATAGCTGGCTGTAAATCAGCTCAAGCGGCTTTTTCTCAAACTTGAAATATTTAGGGAGTAGTTATTCAGTCGAACTACAAATTTAGTAAGCGTTGCATGAGTCATTAGGAATAATGCGAAGGTATACTGAAGGATTATGTGTTCTTTCCCATGCACGGGCAAAATGATTAAGGGATCTTTTCATTGATACATTCATTGATGTGACCCATTATACATCCTCCCAAGGACTTGTCCTACTATGTCATCGTCCATCCTGATCTTTCCAGGAAGGTGGACAGATCTCTGGGAAATATCTCCTTTATATCGGCAGGTGTAGAACAAACACTCTCTTATTGACGATAACTCCCTATTTTTGTGTTTTCAATCCCATCGAGTTGATTTGGGGAAGATTGAAACGAAGCATCAGGCGTAAAAGTAATTTTCCAAAATTTGATAAGAAGGT